AATTCCCAGAACTCCAGGACCTGACTTTTCAGGTTAAAAGAACCTACAGCATGCTTAGCACCCCAAGTGATGAAAGACTGCTACCAAAGCACATCATGACATTTCAGGTCACCAGGGCTAAAGGGAAGCTCTAAATCTGCCAGAGAGCAAGTAAAGGTCATCTATAAAGGATCACCAACCAACGCAGAACCTGGCTTTTCAATAATAGCAAGAAAAACCAAGAAATGTTGCAGATAACTCAGATAAATTATTTTCAGTTTAGAATGCTGAATCTCCAAACTGGTCAATGAAAGGTAAAATAAAGATATTTCCAGAGTCAAACTTGCAGAGTCTCTATCTTCCATGCACTCTTTTTCTTAGGAACTTACAAGAGGATGTTAACCACCAAAGCATTCGAGATAAAGGAAGATGGAAGCACTGAGAGACAAGGGAATGATGACTAGTAGTGGCACTGTGGGTTAATGTGTTGGACTGCAAGGTCGGTTTGAACTGCAAGGGTTGGCAGTTCAAGCTCATCAGTCACTCCTCAGAAAACCTATTCAGGGTCGCTATGAGTCAGAATCGACTTGACAGCACTTAACAACAACAACAATACTAGTACATGAAAGAGAAAAGGAATTTCCAGACTTATGATAAAGGAATGTCCTAAGAGTGTGGAGCAGATCAAGAGAGACTAGTCCATATTAGAACGAGAAGATGATGAGTTCTAGGAGGGATAGTTACAAAGGAAAGAAATAAGGAACTGATAGATCAAATGACGTATTTGATTATATTACAAGGAGTTTTATTGTATTATCAGGGTTTGGAAAAAGAGTTAGGAATGGTATACAGACACTAAGCAAATGGGGAAAACAAGGCAACAATTAAATACAGAAAAAAATGATAAGAAAAATATAATTACACTATGAAACTTCCATGTGAACTAATTTCTATATTGCCCTTGTGGCAGCAATGGCTGGTTGTCCCTAAATGTCCATTTTCCTTTTCTTCCATAATAATAGACTACTCAATGAAGTAGGCTGACACAACAGCTGCAATATTGGGCTTAAATGTATGTGTGATTGTGAGTGCAAGACTGTGCAATGTTTTGCTCTGCTATATAAGGGTAAGTAAAAAAATATTGCTATTAAGGGTTCCAGCTCATATACACATGGGACTCTGTGGTCAGTGGATGGCTGCAGATGAGTTCTGTCAGTAAATTACAAGTTTTAATCTTGCTAAGGTGCTTTCAAAAAGAAAAAAAGTTAAAATCAATACAGTGGCTTCCCTCACCCCATTGGTATACAGGGTCCACAGGGAAGGGGAATTTAGACACTGGCTACCCAAAATGGGGGGAATACAAAGGCAAGAAGTGACTGGATTACAAGCTTTTAATAGGGAACCTAGCTCCAGAGGATACAGGGAAAGGTAGAACCTCTACTGAATTGTTTCCAACCTGTTTGGATGGGGTTGATAAAATGTGAGGGGGAAAGGACTCCTGTGGTTCAATGGGGAATGATTGCTATCAGGTCTGACAGTGAGCTTAGGAAAGGTAAGTGTAAATGTTTGGTAACAAAAGGGGAGTGGCTGATTTTGCAGTCCAGGAGCGAACCATCAGGTGAGAAAAGCAAAGTGCAAAACCCTGTCAAGAGAGGCAGTGATGCTAGGGATGGAGGCAGAGATGATGACATGGACCGAGGCAGAGGGAGCACCTGGGGAGTCTGCACTCAGGGAGGGGGAGGGGTTGGATTGTGTGCTGGCTGCCTGGGGGAGTGGGGAGGACAGGGACAGGAGTATGGGGTGTACCCTTTGGGTGTTTGATGATTGCGATCATTGCAATGAGACAAAGTACAATCGGATGAATGTAAGGATAATGTTCACCCATGTAAACTAACACATAATTCACAATAAAAACTTAAAAAAAAAAAGAATATTTATTTCAGGGGATTTATGTATATATGTATTTTAAAGCTTTTATTGTGAATTAACTCATAGCTCACATGGCAGAACATTAGTTTTGTATTCAACCAATCTCATCTTGTTTCATTGTAATGATTACAATCCCCTTTTTGGATGTACACAAAAATAATAATTAAAAAAAAAAAAATACAGTGGCTTCCAAGAGGATCTTCTGAGCCAGTTAAATTCAAGGCCGAGAGGCCAATTCAGAAGATTATGGAAACTTTTTTGGGGGGATCCCAAAAAAGTAGTCTTGATACATTTTCTCAAAGAACACAGCCCAATTATAGAAGTTTATTAGGAACAAGCTTTAATAAAATGGAATGTCTTCTCATCACAATACACCTGCTCATTCTTCTAGGGTAGCAAAGGCTGTCCTATGAAATTTTTGTTGGGAAATCTTACCACATTCACCCTGCAGCCCTGTTATTGCCCCTTCAGACTTCTTTTTATCCTCAAAACTCAAAGAACGTTTGAAAACAACATGATTTGAGTCCCTTGAAGATGACCAAACTACCATTTTGACTTGGTGAAAATACAAGAGTTCAGGATTCTTCAAGAGTTAGAGAGAGAGAGAAACACAGCCTTCAGAAGTGTGTAGACTTAGACGAATGATACGTTAAGAAACAATAGCTTCCTATTTTGATATTTTTATTTAGTAAAGGTTTCTCTGATTTCGTAGCCATGCTTTTGGGCTTCTGCTTATACACCAGGTTGGATATGGCTAGATGGCAACTAACAGTGACAGGGCTGCCCAGCAAAGACTACATTTCCCAGCTAGGTATGCCAATCTAGTCAATTCTGCTCAATGAGGTATCAAAAGTGGCAGCCACAATTTCTGGACTGACTGGAATGCACATATGTTGTTGTTGTTAGGTGCCATCGAATTGGTACCAACCCATAGCGACTTTATGTACAGCAGAATGAAACACTGCCCGATCCTGGGCCATTCTCACTATTGTTGCCATGCTTGAGTCCATCGATGCTGCCACTTGGCAAATCCATCTCGTTGGGGGTCTTCCTCTTATTCTCTGAACCTCCATCTTACCAAGCATGATATCCTTCTCCAGTGACTGGTCCCTCCTGACAATATGTCCGAAGTATGAGAGACAAAGTTTGGCCATCTTGGCTTCCAGGGAGCACTCTGGATGCACTTCTTCCAAATGGATTTATTGGTTCTTTTGGCAGCCCATGACACTTTCAATATTCTCTTCCAACACCATAACTCAAAAGCATCAATTCTTCTAAGGTCTTCCTTATTCACTGTCCAGCTTTCGCATGCATATGAGGTTACTGAAAATACCATGGCTTGGGTCAGGCACACCTTAGTCCTCAAGCTGACATCTTTGCTCTTCGACACTTTAAAAAGGTCTTGTGCAGCAGATTTGCCTGATGCAATACATCGTTTGATTTCTTGAATCAAATGTCGTTTGAATGCACATAGGTTGTTGTTGTTGTTGTTGTTGTTGTTATGTGCCGTGGAGTCAGTTCCGACTCATAGCAACCCTGTACAGGGTTTCTGATGCTATAAATCTTTATGGGAGCAGAAAGCCTCATCTTTCTTCCACAGAGTAGCTGGTAGTTTCAAACTGCTGACCTTGAGGTTAGAAGCCCAATTTGTAACCAGTACACTTCCAGAGCTCCCTGAATGCACATATAGTGGGTGGGTCATTTTGGATCATGAGAATGAGGACAAGAAAATAAAGGGAACCTGACTCAAGGATACATACATACAGCATACTTATAGCACAGTATTACAGACTTTTTTTTTTTTTAAAGAACTTTTATTATGAATTGAGAGGTTTACAGAGCAGATCATCAGTTTCACATTCAGCAAATCATATGCTTTGTTTCATTATAATGATTACAATTCCCTTGTAATAACATATACCATCATTCTCCCGTATAACATGCACAGTCAGTTAAAGAGTATTTACCTCTACTCATGTAACTCTTGCTTTCCTCTTGTGTCTTTGGCTACCTTCATCTTTTCTTTGCCAACCTCCCATCACCCAAGTTAATATGTATCTACCCTCTAGCCAGCTAGAAGTTTTCCCTTCCCTCTCACCCTTGGTAGGCTTCATAGAATGTTTCTTTTAGCAAGAAAACAAATTTAAACTTTTTACAACAGGGTTGTTAAGTGCCGCTGAGTCGGCTCCAAATTATAGCAACCCTGAGGAAGGGCTAGTGGGTTTTAACTACCAACATTGCAGCTATCAGTCCAGTGCTTATCCTACAGGATGGTTTCCTGCAATATTTGTTCTTTTGTGATTGACTACTTTCACACAGCACAATTTTGAACTCTAAAAATTACATGAATGCAAAACGAATGTTCTCCCATGTAAACTATCACATAATTCACAATAAAACATTAAGAAAGGGAAAAAAACAAACAAACTACATGGCACCTAAAAAAATAAAAAAAAAATGAGTCCTGGTGTTTGTAGTATTTTTACAGATTAATCATGATCAGATGGATGGATGGAAGGGTAAATGGATGGATGGATGGATGGATGGATGGGAGAGTGGGTGAAGGGTGGATGGATGGATGGATGGATCATGGATGGGTGGATGGGTGGACGGACAGATAGATGAATGGATGAATTGATCTTGTAGTTTTTAACAGTGGACTTTATTACCTCTAATTTCTATTCGTAAGCAACATCATATTAGTTTATTAAATATATATGTGGCATGTGAAGAATAAAAAATTACATACATGTATTATTTTGATAAAAAGATAAATTAAATTGAAAAGTTTCATGAGTTATCACTCTTAAACTGTTATAAACATCTCAATATCAAGAATTAGTTGTAGCATTGGACACAGTAGATGTATAAGTATAGGTAAGAAGTTGATTAGAATGTGTAAATATACAAAATAAACTCCTGTATCTAACCCTTGGAATGCCATTTCAAAATCATCTTTCTCTAGGAAAATCTGATTAAAAATACAAAGCAAAACCAAAACTTTTCTTTTTATCAAAGCCTAGAAGTTCTAAGTCAAAATTTTAAATATTTTTAAAATATAAAAGTAGGATTGGTAAACCCTACCGTCTTACCCTTAAGCCATTTAACAGCTGAAGAACTCTTCGATTACATTTCTCTGCCTCAATATTTTGTTCATTGCCCGATGACTCCTGTTTGAATGATTGATAAATATTACATTTAATGAAATTTTAATGAAGTTCACTATTTGAAAGGTATAGTGTTAAGTTACTACAAGAAAAACAACTGTAACACTTGTTGTTAAGTGCTGTTGAGTCACTTCTGACTCACAATGACTCTGTATAGGGTTTCCAAGGATGAGTGGTGTGTTTGAACTGCCAACCTTGCAGTTAGTAGTCCAGTGCTTATCCTACAGCACCACACCAGAATTATAACATTAGCTCCTGGCAAATGAGCAAGGTGTACTTTGACAATAGAACGAATAAGACCACAAATCCCAACATTTGCAGGAAGCATCTATACTGCCGAGGCTACTTTCTGGTAAAGGGCTCCAGAGTAGGAGACTACAATTTTTATTGATAATGCATATCAGGGCACTGTGTCCTTGCTTTCAAAAGGAAAGTCAGCAAAGACAAGTACTTTTGTCTAGGACTAGGGTCACTATGAGTCAGACCCGACTCGAAGACACGTAATAACAAAAACAATAATAATCGTATTCTGGAGGAGCCCCGGTAGCATAATGGATTACAAGCTGGGCTGCTAACCGCAAGGTCAGCAGTTCAAAATTACCAGATGAGGCTTTCTGCTTCCCAAAAGATTTACAGTCTCAGAAACCCTGTGGTCGTTATGAGTCAGAACTGATGCAATAGCGCACAACCACCACCACTATCATCCTAATTCTGACCATTTTAATTTAGTTGGCAGAAATAAGGATAAAGCTATAAGAAAACAGCCTTGTGAAAAATCTATATTTGGACTACCTGGTAATAAGTTGTTAAAATATTTCATCTTACTTGAATCCCAATCAACATTCATGCATACAGCAGTCAAGAAATCAAACAATGTATTGCATTAGGCAATTCTGCTGAAAAAGCACCTCTTTAAAATGCTAAAGAGCAAAGATGTCACTTTGAGGACACTCATCCAAGCCATGATATTTTCAATCACCTCATATGCATGATTGAATAAGGAAGACCACAGAAGAACTGATGTATATGAACTGTGGTATTGGTGAAGAATATTGAAAGTGCCATGGACTGCTAGAAAAACAAACAAATCTGTTTTGGAAGAAATACAACCAAAGTGCTTCTTGGAAACAATAACAGAGAGACTTGACACTTTGGACATGCTGTTAGGAAAGGCCAGTCCCTGGAGAAGGACATCATGCATGGTGAAGTGACCCTCAGCAAGATGGACTGACAGAGTGGCAAAAACAATGGGCTCAAGCATACCAACAACTGTGAAGATGGCACAGGACCAACCAGTGTTTTGTTCTGTTGTTCCCAGGGTTGATATGAGTTGGAACTGACTCCATGGCACCTAATAACATCATCTAGTGATACTAAAGCTCTAAATGTGACTGGTGTTTCATAATTTGTGTATAATTAGACTAAAAAAAAAAAAAAAAAAAAAAAACTTTTAGATTTTGAATGTGACTTGTCCAAAAAAGATCGACTTACTGCCTGTCAAGCTATCAAAATAGATTCACTCTTTATGAGTCTTCAAAGCAAAATCACCTTCAGGAACATTTCAATATTTAAAATCTGTAAAGTTGAAATTGCTTAGCAGAAACTTACTGTGAGCCCTTACCAACTAACACCTTACAAACTGAGAACAGAAACTGGGCACAGGAAAGGTGCTGATGAGTTTGATAAAGAGCAGACCTACAAAGAGATGGGGGAAGGGAAGTGGCACAAATCTGACCTACTTTATCATTTTTTCCTAGGCTACATGTGACCATGAAACTCAGTAATATCTGTCTGTCCCAACATTTCCTTAAGATGCTTTCAATTTCATGAACTCTAAAAGTACCTCAGAAAGTTCAAGAATATTCTGTTTAATCTTTTAAAAATAATTGGAGGCCAAGGGGACTTTGTCTAGGAAATGCTGAGTCCCCATTCCCACCAGCTATAATGGCTTCCTGATCTCACCTAGGCTGTATCCTTTCTTACACTCCAAAGAGCCTGAATTGAAAATATTATCACTTTATTCTGAAGAATTTTCAAAATCCCTCTAGCTACTGTCTGGTTTGTCCTGAGAAAATTAGTCCTCCACTTACTAATGTTTATTTTATTGCTAAGTACACAAATGTCATATTTTTTAATGTAAAAGAAATGGTCCAACTCTTTGTTAAAGATTCATGAGGCTATAGTTTTAATCTGTTTCGTATAACTAAACCAATCAGAAAAAGGCTTAGAAGAAATAGCCTGTGAATTTTGCTGAAGCCTGTGCACTGATCTACCTGGATGTCCTACAGCTGCATTCACTGGAGAAGAGCTGGTGTGTTATTATAGCAACTCATTTTGTGCTGTGTTAGGGTTTGCTTCACTGTGTATGAAAGTAGCTTGTGTTTATCTATAGAAACAAAGAGAAGGCAAAACGAATCTTCTGGTTCAGCTATTTGATGCTTCAAGACATACAACTATGTATATCCTGCTAAGGATTTCAATTTTATAATTATGTATGTGTGTGTGTGTGTGTATATATATATA